CACATTTTAGTTTTATGCAATTCCACTCATATATTTTTGCTTTTGTTGCCTGTGCTTTTGGTGTCATATCCAAGAAATCATTGCCAAGACCACTGTTGTGAAGCTTTTTTCCTATGTTTTCTTCTACAAATTTTACAGTTCCAGGTCTTAAATTTAAGTCTTTAATCCCCATTTTGAGTTGGTTTTTGTGTATGGTGTAAGATAAGGGTCCAATTTCCTGCTACATGTGGATATCCACTTTGCCCAACCCCATTTGTTTTTTGTATTTCTTTTTAATCCCTGTTGCATAAGTGATGGTGTATTCATGTAATAAGGTGCCAAACAGCCATAAAGAAATCATATTTGCAAGGATTACTTATTGACATGTGAAAATGCCCATGAAATCATGGAAGGTGAAAAAAGTCACAATGCAAAAATGACTGCAGTATGATTTCAGTTTTGTACAATACTAATAAATAAATAAATATAGACAAAACTTCTTCCTTCCCTTCCTCGTAGCCTGTCCCAGGATGGAGAGGAAGAAGGCTTATCTTTCACAAACCTTATCTCATGTTCTTTCCCCTTCTAACCAAATACGAATGGTAGGAAAGAGATGAAATTTTAAGAAATTTTAGAAGAACTTTTAAGAGCTAAGTACTCCATCCTCTGTTATTGAAATGATAAAAAGACCATATAAATATTTTGAACATTGCTCTTTATTTAATGGATCATAGACTTTTCATAATTCCATGGATTATCAAGATATCATTATGAAATGTTGGAGTATTGTGTTTTGTTACTATTTAGCAGGTGAAGAACTAAGAATCAGACAGGTGAGGTGAGGCTATTTAGTAAAAAGAACACTGGACTTGACCAGGAGTCTTCCTCTGCCCTAATTCAAACTTTGGCTCATTCACTTATCTAATCTTGAGTTTTGTTATTTAATCTCTTTAGATTTTTCTTAGTTTCCTTGCCATTATCTTTAAAAAAAAAATTTAATATATTTTTTAAATTTTTGACCCTCATCACCCATTTCTCCTAACCCCCACCTCTGGCAACCACCAATCTGTTCTCTGTATCTATGAGCTTGGATTTTTTTAGATTCCCCCACATAAAAGTGAGATCATACAGTATTTTTCTTTCTCTGTCTGACATTTCACATAGCATAATGCCCTTGTGGTCCATCTGTGTTGTTGAAAATGGCAAGATTTCATTCTTTTTTATGGCTGAATAATATTCCATTGCATATATATACCACAATTTCTTTATCCATTCATTCATGGATGGACACTTAGATTGTTTCCATATCTTGGCTATTGTAAATATTGCTGCAATGAACATGGGGGTGCATATGTCTTTTTAAGTTAGTGTTTTCATTTTCTTCAGATAAATACCCAGAAGTAGAATTGCTGGATCATACAGTAGTTCTATTTATAATTTTTTGAGGAGACTTCATACTGTTTTCCATAGTGGCTGCACCAATTTACATTCCCACCAACAGTATACAAGGGTTCCCTTTTCTCCACATCCTCGACAACACTTGTTATTTCTTATCTTTCTGATAAAAGGCCTTCTAACAGATGTGAGGTGATATCTCATTGTGGTTTTGACTTGCATTTGCTTGATGGTTAATGATGTTGAGCATCATTTCATGTACCTGTTGGCAATCTGTATGTCTTCTTTGGAAAAAATGTCTATTCAGATCTTCTGCCCATTTTTTAATAGGATTGTTTATTTTTTGCCATTGAGTTGTATTTGGATATTAACCTCTTATCAGATATATGATTTGCAAATATTTTATCCCATTTGGTATGTTGCCTTTTTATTTTGTTGATGGTTTCCTTTGCTATGCTGAAGTTTTCCAATTTGATGTAGTCCCACTTTTTTATTTTTGCTTTTGTTGCTTTTACTTTTGGTGTCAGATTCAAAAAATCATCTCCAAGAGCTATATCAAGGGGCTTACCACTTGTGTTTTCTTCTGAGAGTTTTATGGTTTCAGGTCTTATGTTCAAGTCTTTAATCTATTTTGAATTTATTTTTGTGTTTGGTGTAAGATAGTGATCCAGTTTCATTCTTTTGCTTGTGGCTGTCCAGTTTTCCCAACCCCGTTTATTCCTGGGCTCTGTATTCTGTTCCATTGATCTATGTGTCTGTTTTTATGGCAATACCATATAGTTTTAATTACTATAGCTCTGTAATATAGTTTTAAATCAGGAAATGTGATGCCTTCAGCTTTGTTCTTCTTTCTCAAGAGTGCTTTGGCTATTTGGGGCATTTTCTGATTCCACATGAATTTTAGGATTGTTTGTTTTATTTCTGTAAAAATGACATTGCAATTTTGATAGGGATAGCATTGACACTATAGATTGCTTTGGGTAGTATGGATATTTTAACAATATTAAGTCTTCCAATCCATGAGCATGGACTGTCTTTCCATTTATTTGTGTCTTCTTCAATTTATTTCCTTAATATCTTGCAATTTTCAGTATACAGATCTTTCACATTTTTGGTTAAATTTATTCCTAGGTATTTTATTCTTTTTGATGCAATTGTAAATGGGATTGTTTTCTTAGTTTCTCTTTCTGATAGTTCATTATTATTGTATGGAAACGCAACAGATTTTGGTATGTTGATTTTGTATCCTGCAACATTGTCAAATTCGTTTATTAGTTCTAACAGTCCTTTGATGGAGTCTTTAGGATTTTCTATATATAATATATTATGTCATCTGTCAGTTTTACTTCTGCGTTTCCAGTTTGGATGTCTTTCATTTCTTTTTCTTGCCTAATTGCTCTGGCTAGGGCTTCCAATACTATGTAGAGTAAAAGTGGTGAAAGTGGGCATTCTTGTCTTGTTCCTGATCTTAGAGGAAAAGCTTTCAACTTTTCATCATTGAGTATATTGTTAGCTGTGGGCTTGTCCTAGATGGCATTTATTATTTTGAGATATGTTCCCTCTATACCTACTTTGTCGAGAGTTTTTATCATAACTAGATGTTGAATTTTGTCAAATGCTTTTTCCGCATCTATTGAGATGATCATATGATTTTCATCCTTCGTGTATCACACTGACTGATTTGTGAATGTTGAACCAGGCTTGCATCCTTGGAATCAATCCCACTTTATTATGATGTAAGATCCTTTCAATGTATTGTTGAATTCAGTGTGCTAATATTTTGTTGAGGATTTTTGCAACTATGTTCATAAGGGATATTGGCCCATAATTCTCTTTTCTTTTGTGTCCTTGTCTGTTTTCATATCAGAGAAATGCTGGCCTCATAAAATGAATTTGGAAGAATTCCCTCGTCTTCTGTTTTTTGGAAGAGTTTGAGAAGGGTTGGTATTAATTTTTCTTTGAATGTTTGGTAGAATTCACAAGTGAAGCCATCTGGTCCTGGACTTTCATTTGTTGGGAGGTACTGATTACTGATTCAATTTCCATACTAGTAATTGGTCTGTTCAGATTTTCTATTTCTTCATGTTTCAGTCTTTGTAGGCTTTATGTTTCTAGGAATTTATCCATTTCTTCTAGGTTGTCCAATTTGTTGGTGTATAATTGTTTATAGTAGTCTCTTATGATTGCTTCGTATTTCTGTGGTATCAGTTGCAATTCTTTTCATTTCTATTTTTATTTGAGTCCTCTTTCTTTTTTTCTTGATGAGTTAGCTAAATGTTTGTCAATTTTGTTTATTTTATCAAATAACCAGCTCTTACTTTCAGCAATCTTTTCTAATGTCTTTCTAGTCTCTATTTAATTTCTTTCTGCTCTAATCTTTGCTATTTTCTTCCTTCTACTAACTTTGGGCTTTATTTGTTCTTTTTCTAATTCCTTCAGCTTTAAAGTCAGGTTGTTTATTTGAGACTTTTCTTATTTCTTAACGTAGGCATTTGTGGCTATGAATTTCCCTCTTAGAACTATTTTTGCTACATCCCATACATTTTAATATGTTACATTTCCATTTTTGTTTGTCTTAAGATTTTTTTTATTTCTCTTTTGATTTCTTCTTTGAACCATTGGTTGTTCAATAGTATGTTATTTAATCTCCACATATTTGAGATTATTGATTTCTCAGTTTCGAGTATTGATTTCTCAGAAATCAGTGTAATTGATTTCTAGTTTCATACCATTGTGGTTGGAAAAGATGCTTGGTATGATTTAAATCTTCTTAAATTTATTAAAACTTGTTTTGTGGCCCAACATATGTTCTATCCTGGAGAATGTTCTATGTGCACTTGAGAAGAATGTGTATTCTGTTGCTTTTGTATGATATGTTCTATATATATCTATTAAGTCCATCTGGTCTAATGTGTTCTTTAAAGCCAATATTTCCTTATTAATTTTCTGTCTGGATGATCTAGTCATTGGCATAAATGGTATATTAGCATTTCCTACTATCATTGTATTGCTGTCTATTTCTCCCATTAGGTCTGTTAATATTTGCTTTATATATTTAGGTGCTCTTATGTTGGGTGCATAAGTATTTACAAATGCTGTAATCCTCTTGTTGGACTGACCCCTTTATCATTATGTAACACCCTTCTTTGTCTCTTATTACAGTCTTTGTTTGAAAGTCAATTTTGTCTGATATAAGTATAGCTACCCCAGCTTTCTTTTGGCTACCATTTGCATGGAATATCTTTTACCATTCCTTCACTTTCAGTCTGTGTATGTCTTTACATCTAAAGTAAGTCAACACCAATACTGGTTGTTGAAGAGACTAACCTTTCCCCATTGTGTATTCTTGGCATTCTTGTTGAATATCAGTTGAATATGCATGTATTTATCTGTGGACTTTCTATTCAGTTTCCTTGTTGTATATGTCTGTCTTTATGCAAGTATCATACTGTTTTAATTACTGTAGCCTTGTAATATGTTTTGAAATCAGGAAGTGTGAGGCCTCCAGCTTGGTTCTTCTTTTTGAATATTGTTGGGGCCACTTGGGGTTTTTGAAGTTTCCAATGAATTTTATGATTATTTTTTTCTATTTCTGTATAAACTCCATTGGGTTTTTGTTAGAGATTGCATTGAATCTGTAGATTACTTTCGGTAGTTTGGACATTTTAACAATATTAATTCTTCCAGTCCATGAACACAGGATGTCTTTCCATTTATTTGTGTCTTGTTTAATTTCTTTCTTCAATGTTTCGTAGTTTTCGGAGTACAAGTCTTTTGCCTCCTTGGTGAATTTTATTCCTAGTTACTTTATTCTTTTTATACTATTGTAAATGAGTTTTGTTTCTTAATTTCCTTTTTGGATTGGTTGTCATTAGTGTATAGAAATGCAATTGATTTTTTATGCTGGTGTTGGAGTCTCGAGTCTGAAAATATGCAGGACAGGCCAGCAGGCAAGAAACTTAGGCATGATTTCTATGTTGCACTCTTGAAGTAGAATTTTTCCTTCTATGGGAAACCTCAATCATTTGTTTTCAAGACCTTCAACTAATTGGATGAGACCAACCCACATTATAGAGGATAATCTACTTCGACTGTAATTACCTACAGTCAGTGAATTGTAAGAATATCTTCCCAGCAACGTCTAGACTAGTGTTGGACCAAACAACTAGGTGCCATAGCTAAGCCAAGTTGACACACAAGACTAACCATCATAACTACCATCATCTATCTATTTATAAGTGTTTGAACATGTTCTTCATTAACAGTAAAAACCTTTAGATACTTTGCTTTTCGTTTTCTTCTTGGAAATCATATTGATTTACATTTAAAAAGGTACTGGTCATCTGTAACCATACCAAAATACATAAATAAATCGTATTCTAAGTTTTAAGTTGCATATGATGAAATACTCTAGGTGTTAAGAAATCTTCTGGGTTAAGTTATCATTGCAAATATTTGTAGTATAATTGATCAAAACACCATAATGCATATGTATTTTTTGTGTGTGCGTTGGTGCGCGCCCGGGATCTGAATCGGTGAACCTCCGGCAGCCGCAGCGGAACACGCGCCATAGAGCATATATTTTGATAAAATTTATCAAAAATAAAAAGGCAGTTTTATTGAAAATGCATCTCTTAATAGGATAGGCTGTTTTAAAATTAGTTGATGTGTTCAAAATTGATTGCCTATTCTAAGACTCTTATGTATTGCTAAGATTCAATGGCAACATAGTTGGATAATGCAAAAATAGTTTTGATCACTAACAAAGCTTATAAAAGGAGTATTAATGATTCTTGCTAAATGTATTATTAATAGAGAATACACCTGTACCCATTAAATTTATCTAAAAATAATAAGGATAATAATAAAAGAGTAGTTGTTTTCAAGTAGTTTTAAGAGACTCACTCCCTAAGGCATTCCAGGCATAGGGATAAGCCAGTGCAGAGGCCTAAGCTGGAGGCATGCCTGGCTTCACTGAAGAATAGCCAAGAGACTAACGTGCTTTAGAAGAAGGATGGTGAGGTTGCCTAGTGAGAGATGAGGTTCAAGAGTTTATAGATAATAATTGGCTATTAGGCCATTTTAGGGATTTGAGTTTTAGGAAGAAACTTTTTGGGGTTGATCTGATCTGACTTGACATTTTAATAGAATCACTCTGGCAACGGTGTGAAAAATAGACTGAGGACAAAGATGGAAGCTAGGTCAACCACAAAGATCTTGCAATAATTCAGGTGAGAGATGATGGTGACAGAGTGAATTGTTAGCAGTGGTAGTGGTGGGAATTGATTTGAATAATAGCATGTTCTGACAGAATTCACAGATGGATTGTGATGGAAAGAGAAGTCTCAAGAGTGATTGTAAATTTTTTAACGCGAGAATTTGAGAGGGATGAGTGACCATTAATTGAGATGGGGAAGATTTCAAAAGAAGAAAGTTTGGGGCAATATTCAAGGTTTCTATTACCATAAGGAAGATAGAAATAATGAATGCTGATTAACCACAAAATCATGATGATAAACTAGGAGAAATAATTTGCTATAAATGTGATAGACGAGGGGCTAATTCAAAAAGAATTCATACAAATGAATAAGACAAAAAAATTCTAAGTCATTCAATCAGAAATTGTGCAAATGACGTCAATATATAATACACAGAAATGGGAAAGTATATGGTAAAAAAATTTAAAAGTTAAATTTAAAGGTAATTATATAGATGTATTATAAAAGAAAAAAATGTTAATACTTACCTAATTTGCATGTGGGATGTGTATATGTGTGTGTGTATGTGTTAATGATTATACCCAATGCCAGGAAAAAGTTGTGAGATGAAATGAGCACATTTACACACTGAGGATGAGTTGAGGATGTAAGTTTGTTTCATCATCTTTTATTAACAAGAGCCTTAAAATATTGATGGACTTTTACTCAGAAATTCCAACAATAATCAAAAATAGAGGAAAAAAATTTAAGAAAATAAATGCTATCATAATTTCTTTATAATAGTGAGAAGAAGGAGAACAATATAAATGCCCAATGACAGACATAATTTAAAGCAGGTAGAGATAGCATGATTCTGTGTAATTTCTTTTACTTTGTTTCAATATTTTTCAAATTCTGTTTAATAAACACTTTTTACTTTCATAATCAAAAAATAAAACAAAGTACTATGAAATATGTTAGATTATGCATTATATTATAACATAATATATATATATAAAGAAGTACAATAAATATATTTATAAATTTTAGCATTAAAAATATTGATACCAGAAGAAACAAGACCAAATATAAAAGAGGCTGTTTATCTATCCTTCTACATTCTAACCTCATTATTTGTGAGTTTTATATTTGTGAATTTTTTTACTCACTAAAATTTATACGTAACTCTCAAATCAATACTCATGTCATTTTCATACTCATTTGCAGACATTTTGCTAAGAAAAGCAAAAAATTTGTGTCATCCACTGCACATTTCCAGCTGAAGTCAAACAAGGCAACACCTGCCTTCTTTCAGCTCTCATACACAAAACAAAGCAAGTGTCCTTCACATTTCTTACATTTTGTGCTTTTTGATGGTGATTTTGCTGTTTAAAATGGACCTCAAGTACAGTGCTGAAGTGCTATGTGTTGTTCCTGGTGTAAGAAGTCTGTTACGTGCCTTATGGAGAAACTATGTGTGTTAGATGAACTTTGTTCAGGTGTGAGTAACAGTGCTGTTGGCCCTTGAGTTTAATGCTAGTGAATTAACGATATATATTAAATCAAATGTCTTTAAACAGAAAAGTGCCTAAAACAAGCTATCAATATCCATCAATAAAAATATTGTGAGCAGAGGCTTGCAGGAACCTAACCCTGTATTTCTCATAGGAACAATTTTTCAGTATTTGCTCAGAGTCTGGTGATTTTCTTATAGAACATAACTACTGTAAATAACAACAAATGACTGTATATATTTGGCTATCTATCTGAATTTCCTAATGACAGTAAGGTATTGTGAATCGTTGGAAACTTCAGGTATTTTTCAATAAATGTTATTGGAATAACAACTTGATCACATTATGGGCCTAGTAAAGATTGACCTTATGCTTTTTTGGTGTATGGACATTTACAAGTGTTTTTACATTGAGGACTATATTGATAGATTAGGAGCCAGTAGGATTTCCATGAAGAAATATCAATTTTCTTGAAGGGGCTATTATGAAGAGTTACAGTAACTTTCTGCTACAGATGAATAATATATATGTGGATCTCTCAGCCTGGGACATACAGCCAACCCTTAATGTAGTGTAGCCTTTGCCCTCATTGATTCTCCTGTTTTGATAAATAGAAAGCATACCTGGAGTTCCTGGTACATTTGTGATTTCTATTCTATTCTGTGAAAACTGTTTTGTGGAGTGGAACAATCTTGACCACATGGGAAAAATAAACAAACATAAACCATCTTAGAAACTGATTTCCAAATGCAGTTGCTTTCCTTTGGAAAATTCTGCCATTTCAGTAAGCTCCGAGTGTCAATAGTGTAATAATTTCCTTGAATTGAATATGCAGAAGAAAATGATTTAGATAAGTTTGCAACGTTGTAAAGTCTTTGAATTGATTGACTCTATAGAGTGAAACAGGAAAGATTAATTTGTATATTTTCTGGGGTATTGAAAGTTTTGATTTATATTAGAATGGTTCTATAGAGAAAAGAAAGCTAATGTGATCCGAATTGACACTTTTGGTTATAATTCATTAGGGTTTGACAGTGATCAGCAAACCTAACCACGTCAGATCACACAATCGATGATGTCGGTTTGTTGTTTCTGATGATGTTGCTTTAATTTTCTTTGCTTATTTTTCAGTATTTATAATTGATTTGGAAACTTAAAACTTCTTTAACACATGGTACTAATATTTAGTTTCCTAAAGATAGTAAAACCATTCTCTCTGGGTTCATTTATCTGATTTAAAAAGTTACTAAGCAGATGAAAAAAATCTACAATGGTATCCTATAAAACATTGCTATTATTTTAAAATGTCCATTCTAATAAAATATAATCAAAGTGCTTTTGCTTTTAAAATCAGATAATAGCCAGACTAAGAGACTATGCTGTAAAATTAATGCTCAGGTTTCCAAAACAGAAGTCCAAGAACATAGATTTTTATTCTCCTTTTCTCAACTCTAAAAATTCAAAGTTGGCTCTCTGGCCATATGAAAGGAATTTATTCAGACTATCCCACAATTTCTTTCAGGAAACATATAACTTTTATTAGTTTACGATTATTCCTCAAAATAGTAATTGTATCGAGCACCAGCAAAGTGCAAAAAAGCAATAGCTTTGTACAAAACAAAATTAGAAATGCCCCCATCACCCAGTGAGACTGTAATATGAGAAAATAAATAAAATACAACTTTCTTTTAAACAACAAATGTCACTGTAATGAATATGGGTTTTTAATAGTACACTGAAATGACACATTGCCTTGATGTTCTTACAAAAGTTTTTGAAAAGTTGAAACAATCTTTCTGAATACCTATTTTTTTAAAAAAAATTCAGAAATAAAAGCAACTGTTTAAAAAAGATTATTTAATTGTATGTTTTTCAGGGTATAGTTACAAAGAATACAGCATACAACTATTCATTAAATATTTAATTCGCCTTGGAAATTAGAGTCCTGTGCAAGACTGTTTTATGGACCAAAAAGTTCAAATTCAAAACAAAAGCACATTTTCTTTTTTTGTTGTAACAAAAGTATAACATGATTTTTATTTCATTTTTTTGAAAGGAAAATAATAACAATACAGTAGGATTTTTCAATACTATATGTCAAGTTAAAATCCCAAAGCTGTAAAACCCCACACTTAAGCTGTGAGAGTAGACTCTCTATAATTATTTCCAATATTTAGCTCTCTGAGGCTTGTCTTTTTTTGAATCACACATAGGGAGATAAGGATTTAACTCGGTAGCCTTTTGCAGCATCAAAGGAAACTATATTTCCCACACACAAAGTTGGAAATCAAGGAAGTGAAAACTTTCATCTCAATCTACTATGACCGTACTTGTGGAAAATGAGGTCCAAGAACAGGTCAATGTCAATATTACCTTGTTCATCTTTTTAAAGGAGATTCATATGATTTCTTTTGTAATATGGTAAAATGTGCTGAAGGTTTCGAAATTGTGCATGGCTTTCCAATAGCCTAAACAACCTCTTCCCAGGATAAATAATCTTGTTTTCAATATTCCTATTGAATATTTCAGAGGCAGTATGAGAGTAGGATATAAAAATGAGAAAATGTGCTACTTTATCTGACAATTGTAAAGAAATTTCAGACTGATCATAAATCCAAATTACACTGTTAATGTATCAGGTAGAAGTACTTGCCAATGTGAGTGACAGAAAGCTCGATGAACAAGCTTTAACCAAGTTCAGAGTTAGACAACTAGGACACTGAATGAGTTGCTCACAATGCAAATCTTAATCTTTCCACTTCATTGTGTCAAGAGTGTAGGGTATATCCTTATACTTGTGTTTTCATGGTTGGAAGATGATTGTTTCAGTTCCAATCATCCTATCTAAAATTGAGGCTAACAGAGGGGGAAGAGAGAGAGAATGACCGTGCTCCTTCATTTTGTCCCTTTTTATCAAGACAACAAATACTTACCTTAAAAATACTCCCCAGTAGGTAAATATTTATAGTTTATTGGCCAAGACAGTGTCAAATGGCTGACAGAGATGCTGGGGACCTCAGTGATGAAGTTTGTGATTATACATACAATATGAGGGGCAGAAAGAAAGAGTAGGGATCTGGGTCCTTGAACATTCAGTGTGAGTTACCATCAATTTTGAGAGTTTGAGTGTCTCTCAAGTTTGTCCAGAAAAGAAAAAAAATAACCACTCAGTAACCCTGCTCTTACATTTCTGAGTGTGCCAATCCAGTGTTCTAAATGATCTTGAATTTGTCCCATTTTAGATCAATAGGTGTTATTCATATAGATTCTTTTATGCAGCCCAGTAATTTTGAATTGAATGATATAATATGCTCAAGTTCCCATTTATTCAAAATTTTTTTGGATCAAATACTATGTGCCCAGCTCTGTGATAGATACCAGAGTTTAACCGAAGAGCCACTGACTTTCAACTTGTCAGGGAGATTTTTATATAAATGAGGAAACAAAACTATTGTGCATATAAAATAATGCATTTATTGATGTTAGCAT